ATATATATATATATATATATATATATATATATATATATATTTAGATATATATATATTTAGATCTATATATATTTAGATATTATATACATATATTTAGATAAATGTATATATACATATGTATATATATATATATATATATATATATATATATATATATATATATATATATATATATATATATATTTAGATATTATATACATATATTTAGATATATGTGTATATACATATGTATGTATATATATATATATATATATATATATATATATATATATATATATATATATATATATATTTAAATATATATATATATATATATATATATATATATATATATATATATATATATATATATATATATATATATATATATTTAAATATATATATATATATATTTAAATATATATATATTTAAATATATATATATATATATATATATTTATATATATATATATATATATTTATATATATATATATATTATATATATATATATATATTTATATATATATATATATATATTTATATATATATATATATATATATATATATATATATATATATATATATATATATTTATATATATATATATATATTTATATATATATATATATATATATATATATATATATATATATATATATTTATATATATATATATATATATATATATATATATATATATATATATATATATATATATATATATATATATCTTTAACTACAGTATTTACCTCTGTGTGTGTGTGTGTATATATATATATATATAATATATATATAGATAGATAGATAGATAGATAGATAGATAGATAGATAGATATTATATATATATATATATATATATATATATATATATATATATATATATATATATATACACATATATACAATTTTCTTTTTTCTTTTTCTTCTTTCTTTTTTTTCTTTTCTTTTCTTTTTTTTCGTGCCGTCACCGGTGTTTGCCGAAGTACCTGGCGCCAGGTTAACTTCATGTAGTTGACTGGGTCTTTATACTGGGGTGGGGTGGCTGACCAAGGATCCTTCCCAAGGGGAACAGTTATATATGTAGGTTTGGTTTACACAACTTAGCAAGTCCGTGCGCGCGGGCTGTGTGCGTCTTCATTACACACATAGATAAATAGATAGATAGGTAGATAGATATTGATGTTGAAATTAATTATGTATATTGATATATTAGTATTATATAAATCTAAATGCTTGTATTTATGTTCGTATATAAGCATGTTTCTTCTTTCGCCGTCTTCCTTTGTTGCTCCTATTCTTTGCCGTTCCGCTCAGGTCCATCTTTCCTTCTCACTCCCTGTCTCTCCCTCGGCCTGTTTCCTCATCTTCTTTTCTTAGGCATTGTCCAAACCATCGCAACTTGATTTTTTTATGTCATCAGTTATACATTCTGCTCTTGTCCTCCGTCTCATATCCTCATTTCTTAAATGCTCTCTAGTCGATACATCCATGGCCCGCCTCAACATCTCATCTCTGAACTTTCCAGCCTCTTCTCTTTCTGCCTTCTACAGCGCCCATGTCTGTGCTCCATAGGTCACTGCTGGTCTTATCACCGTTCTGTAAATCTTCGCCTTCAGCTTCTTTGGCATTTTTTTCGTCGCAAACTAATTTTACTTCCTCCAACTTGCGTTTTTTTTCTTTAACATTACTTCTGACTTTCTTGTCTTCATTTTCAATCTTCCCTTTTGGAGACTCATCAGCCATTGTATCACTTAAGATTGCACTTCCTCCTGGGTGTCTGCGATGATCACCGAGTCATTAGGGGAAAAGAACGAGGTACCACCTGTTTCTTTCTTTTATTTCTGTTGTCAGCACATCCATCACAACCGCAAACAGAAAGGGGCTAAGGGCTGACCCTTTGATGCAGCTCCCACCTCCACCCTAATCTCCTCTGGCTCTCCACATCTTGTCCTGACCAATGCTCTTCTGTACACCTCTATCGCCGTTCTCAGTGTCTTTTCCATTCTTGCATGTGTGTGGGAGTGTGTGTGTGTGTGTAAATGAATGAAAGAATGAATTCTTACAAACAGCGCATACATATGTACAATACATACATGTATGCAGATATTCGTATATATATATATTTTTATATCGAAACAGTTACCCCGAGTGTGACAGAACTGAGATGCCATGGACTTTTATTCTATGCAAATTGTAAATGGTCAGCGGTCAGGTGGGCGGCAGCGTTATGTGTTTAGAATTTGTCAAAGTGGGCGAGAAGGAAAAGGGGGTTGGACTGACTGACCTGGAAACGCGCACATACTCTCTCTCATTCAATCATACTCACACTTTGAGCAGAGATTGTCGGAAATTTATGGATCGAGAGATACAACAGTGAGAAATGAGATGGAAAGAAAAAAGAGATACTCTGGAAGAATTTAAAGATTTGAAAGGAGATTAAGAAAAAGAAAAGAAAGAGAGGAAGAATTTCGAAAGCCGGCGCGAAACGAAATAACGAGAAAGTTAAAGGAAAAGCGGGAAACGGATAACGAGAGTAGGATGTGGCTCGGTGCTCAGGTGTACATGCAGAAGGAGACGGAGGGGGGAGGGGCAGCGATGGAGTGGCGGCGGTGCAACTGCATGCAACAAGCGCCCGGGAGTAGGGGGTGAGGGTTGGGGGTGCGGGGGGGGGGGGAGCTGTGCATGAGAGACCATGCCTGAGTAACCTTGCGACCTTCAGTTGTCTCCTCCTCTTTCATACCCCCACCCCCACCCTCTCTTGGCCCTCCGCCTCCCATGCCTCCGCCTCGTACTCCAGTCCCTCCTTTCTTACTCCTTTCCTCCTCCTCTTCTCTTTCTCTTCTTCCACTCTTTCTTCTCTTCTTTCGCTTCTCCTCCTCCCACCTTCTCCTATTCTTCTTCTTCATCCTCTTTTACGCCCCCTCCTCATCCTCATTCTCATCCTCCTCCTTTTCCTCCTCCTCGCCCTTCCTCTTCCTCCCCCTTCCTCTTCCTCCTTCCTCCTTCCTCCTCCTCCTTCTCCTCCACCTCCACCACTCCTCCTCCTTCTCCTCCTCCTCCTCCTCCTCCTTCTCCTCCACCTCCACCACTCCTCCTCCTCCTCCTCCTCCTCCTCCTCCTCCTTCTCCTCCTCCTTCTCCTCCCCTCTATCTGTGCCTACGTCGGTGTGTCTAACTCATTACTAATACAAGAGTTCCTTTTGTCATTCTGTCTGCAACGATTTGCCGGGAAGGTAATTAGTTTTAAAAATTAGATATCCTGAACCACGGCTCAGCGACGAAACTTCTAGAATGAATGCTGAATGCGAGTGCTTTATGCCGCCGAGAGTTAGATATAAGTTGGCGGTACTGGAAATAAGGTATGTGGCAAGAATTTTAGATGAGGGTTGTGGTTGAAACGAAAACGTGGGATTTTGCTCTCAATATTTTCGACTTTTTTGTTTGTTTCTTTGTAATTTTTATGTTTGTTTTACGTATATTTTAGTTACGAAGATTCTGATTATTAGGCAGGATATATAGTATTGCTTCCTATTGAGAATGCGTTGCAACCCCTCCCCCCTCCCCCCACCTTCCGCTCAAGGTCGGGCAGCGGTGGCCCTGCGTTGACCGGCCGGGGCTTCGGTGTTTTCATATTTATCGAGATTTTTTGGACCCCTTCTCTTTTATCTACCCCGCTCCTTTCTCCCCTTCTCTCCCCTTCTCCCCTCCATCTCTTTCTCCCCCTTCTACCCTTCATCCCATTCCCTATTCTTCTACTCGCCTTTTCTCTGTCTTCCTCTAGTCCTCTCTCCCTCTCTCCCTCCCTCCCTCTCTCTCTCTCTCTCTCTCTCTCTCTCTCTCTCTCTCTCTCTCTCTCTCTCTCTCTCTCTCTCTCTCTCTCTCTCTCTCTCTCTCTCTCCCCCCCCTCTCTCCCTCTCCCTCTCTCCCTCCCTCCCTCCCTCCCTCCCTCCCTCCCTCTCTCTCTCTCTCTCTCTCTCTCTCTCTCTCTCTCTCTCTCTCTCTCTCTCTCTCTCTCTCCCCCTCTCTCCCTCTCTCCCTCTCTCCCTCTCTCCCTCTCTCCCTCTCTCCCTCTCTCCCTCTCTCCCTCCCTCCCTCTCTCTCTCTCTCTCTCTCTCTCTCTCTCTCTCTCTCTCTCTCTCTCTCTCTTCTCTCTCTTCTCTCTCTTCTCTCTCTCTCTCTCTCTCTCTCTCTCTCTCTCTCTCTCTCTCTCTCTCTCTCTCTCTCTCTCTCTCCCCCTCCCTCCCTCCCTCCCTCCCTCCCTCCCTCTCTCTCTCTCTCTCTCTCCCTCTCTCTCTCTCTCTCTCTCTCTCTCTCTCTCTCTCTCTCTCTCTCTCTCTCTCTCTCTCTCTCTCTCTCTCTCTCTCTCTCTCTCTCTCTCCCTCTCTCCCTCTCTCCCTCTCTCCCTCTCCTCCTCTTGTCATTGATGGCGCCGTGGGCTTGGCTGGTTTAGCAGACAAGACAGGAATACATGCATGAAGATGATAAGCAAGTAATCCTGCAAACAAGCATTTATAAATTCTAGACACTCGTGATTAAGGGGAGTTATTTTTATATAGGTTTATATGTCCCGAGGGATGAGTAATCTTGGTGATACGATGGTGATGATGTCAGTGCGATAAGACTGACTGCTTTTCGTGGCTGTGGCCGGACGTTTGATGGTGAGGACAGTATGTAGGCTAATGGTTGCGTAGGGAAATAGAAAGCACAGGATAGAAGGGATAGGAGGATGATAAATGAGAGGAGGAAAGGGAATGCGAGGGACGCGGAGAAATGGAAAACACAAGATAGAGGGGATAGGAGGATGATAAATGAGAGGAGGAAAGGGAATGCGAGGGACGCTTAGTTTAACGTGATTTTTTTTTCATTTATTGTACAAGGCTGTCGAAAGAAGTCTTTAGTATTGTGGGAGTTATTGAGATTTGAGCAGTCTCTTTTGTATTGGGATAATTTATACATATATGTGTTTGTTGTAATATAAGAAAACTTAAAGGACACTGTGTTAATACATCTATTACTTTGCAGGTTGTGTGCCAGTTGATGAACTCTGCCTGGTACCAGAAGAAGTGCCAAACTATGAGGCCATTAAATCACTCCATTCCCAGCTGGATGACGACAGGAGTGGAGACATTGATGTGTCAGAATCTGTTGAGGTAAGTTTTGGTCTGTATAACCTTTAGTGCCATGAGTATAACATGCACGCGCACCAAATAAACACACATGCACATATATACACACGTAAATGCACACACAAATACACGTGCGCATTCAAATAAACACACATGAATACACACACTGGAACACATGTACATATCTACACACATATATATACACATAAATATACACATAAATATACACATGAATATACATACAAACACACCCACGCACACACGATGTCAAATAACTTTGTATTATTTATTTTCATCCTCTGTGTGAGATTGAATCATGAGATTTGTGTTGTCTCTCCATCCCCACAGTTCCTGAAGGAGGAGCTGCAGTATGCCAAAGGTTACGAAAAGCGCCAGAAGGTGTTCCACTCTAACAATGACCAGTATATATCGGTGCGAGAGCTGTGGCACATGTGGAAGAAGTCGGAGGTAAGCGAGGAAAGTCAAATGTGCAGTGGGGGGCGGGGGGGGGGGAGGTAGAGGTAAAGTCATTCTCTTACGTGTAGGAGAACTTTTTTTTTTTCCTTTTTCATGAGTTTAGTTATTTGTTTGTTGATTTATTATTATTATTGTTGTTGTTATTGTTGTTTATTGTTATTATCATCATTACTCATATCATTATTTCTTTTTATTATTATTATTGTTGTTATTTTTATAATAATTATTATTATTGCTGTTATTGTTGTTATTATTATTATTATTATTATTATTTTTATTATTACCACATTTATTATTATTATTATTATTATTATTATTATTATTATTATTATTATTATTATTATTATTACCACATTTATTAGTATTATACTTTTTATTAGTATTATTATTGTTGTTGTTGTTATCATCATTTTTATTATTATTTGTTGTTGTTCTAGTTCTTACTTTTATTACTATGATCACAATTAGTACTATTATTAATACTATTATTATTATTATTACTATTATTGTTATTATGATTGTTATTATTATTATTATTATTATTATTATTATTATTATTATCATTATCATTATCATTATCATTGTCATTGTTATCATCATTATTATTATTACTGTTCTATTACTAGTAGTAGTATCATTATTATTGTTATTATTTCTAGCATTGTTATTTTGATTATCTAGAAGCTTCTGGTAGACTCACTGGTATTAGTTTTTTTTGTATATATGAAATATTTATATGGTGGTCTATGTTATAAATTTGATTTGTTCTTGATTATTGACAGGAATTTTTCATATGGGTATTATCATGTTTATAATGTCTTAGTTGGGTTTATGTTAATAAAAATTGCAGTTTATTGTTCCCATTATTTGTAGGTGGGTGTAAGGTATCAAAAGATAATGACAATATAAGTAAATCCATGTCAGAGATATTGTGGAAACCAAGTAGCTTGTATGATTTTCTGTGATATGTTAAGTATTTATGCACTTGTTATTATGTGTGTATGCATAGTGATATTGGTGGTATGCATAATCATTAGAAACTCATTTTAAAGACATATGTACAGAAAATTATGATATGGGGAATGATACTGATTATGGGAAATAGTGATAGTAATTATATCTTCATCTTCACTTTACACAAAGTGATGCTTCTAAAATTGGTTTATAAAGAAAAGTGGTTGTATTGACCAGGTACTGATATCTTGTATGTTTTCCAGGTGCACAACTGGACCGTGGAACAGACCGTTTCATGGCTGGCAGAGTCGGTGGAGCTCCAGCAGTATGCACAAAACTTCTATGCTAATGCTGTAAATGGATCTGTGTTGCCAAGGTATGAAGTAATGATGTTAAGGAGGAATAGTATTATAGTTATAGTATTTCTACAGTTAAGGAGTGCTCCGTGCTTTTGTTACGTTAGGAGCCAAATGAGCAGAATAATATGACGGTGCAACCACATGCCATTCTATTGTGGTCTTGGCTTGAATGCTTTTCTAATTGAGGATACGTTCTTTTTTTTTATTATTCACAATACTTAGGCTTTTTTTAACCACTTTGATTTTTTTTTTTTTTTTTTTTTTTTTTTTCTCTCTTTTTTTTTGGGTGTTTTCTAAGTCATATTGTAGTTGGCAAGTATGTTGAAATGATATGATTCACCCTCATTTGTTTTTGGAAATTCTCTGTTCTTTTTTTCATGTGTTGGTTCAAAAAAAATCCAACATCTGGCTATTCAGAATGTATCATATTTCACTGATGTATGACAAGTATCAGAAGTTCTTCATATGTGGTGGGGCATGCTTCTATATTTTGTGAGGATCTCTTTTTTTATTATTATTATTGTTTTTTTTTATTATTATTATTCTTTATACATCCCAACTGTATTTTTTAGAGTAAGTACCCCTAGCAGTGTGGAGAAAAGAAGCACCTACTACCTTTTGTGACAATTAAAAAGTAGATCCTAGTATACCTTTACCATCAATATAGTGGATTTTGCCTCTCTCTCACTTCTGCAGTACCATTCTCAGCGTGATAGCTTCCAGAACCGAAAGAAGAAGTGAAAGGCATATGCTAGAAAGGTGAATTTGCTGGAACATCAGCAATTTGGATGTACACTCCCTTGCTAGTCCATCTTCTCCTGCTCCTTTTATTTATTTGCTCGTCTAACATGCTGGTTGTTAATCTGCCCTTGCGGGGATTTACAAGTGCACTCTGTTATTTATACTTGTTTGAAGCTGTTTGGTACCCTAAGTGTGCTGTTTGGACTGTGAACATTTTACGACACAAGTAGCTGCATGACCAACACTGACAGTTGATGTCGCTTTTAATAATAATAGATGCTGTTTGTGTCACAGAGACCCATAAAAATATAATATGGCCACTTCAGTGTTCAGTATATGGTAAAACTTGCAATTGTCTAGTCATCTCTGATCTTTCAGAGTTTTCTTGTGAGTGTCAATTTGAATGTCATTCATAATTGTATATAAAATGAATGATGGTTTATGGTTGTTCATGTAAGTGGTTGGTAAGAGCGCTTCATTGTATGTTATTAAGGGGTCAGTTTCTAAAAACAGAAATCTTCAGACTGTTCTTAATTATATGATGCATAGCTGAATGGTAGAAGGTCATGTTCAGTAAGTAAAATGAGTTTGCTTTACATAAAAAGAAAGTGAAACTGAATACTTTTTTTTTTTAATTATGTATATTTTTTCTCAAATGTAGTGTATAGATTTCAGTTTGTTTTTGCCTCCTCCCTAAATTTAATTCGCCAGCCTTTCCCTTAAAAGAAACAATTCCCCTGTGTGCAAAATTCCTTAACACAATATCAGCTTTGATTAGTTGATTCATTCATAGATAAAGTTTGAATAGGTTAAATTATTGAATTCATTTGTAGTGCTTTGATCAGAGATCAAGGCATATTTATTTTCTAGAGCACTAAACTCATGTATTTGACGTTCAAGTGTAGTAATAGAAGAATGCGAATTTCAAAGGAGAAGGCACTACTAATGAGGCATGAGGTTTTGAAAAATAAGTAACAGTCCCTATAATTGACCAGACAACATACTAATGATGCACAGATGAATAAAATCTCTGCTATGTATTCCAGATTGGCAGCCAACAATGAACAGTTCTTGACCAAAGTCCTGGGGATCAAGGACCCAAAACACAGGTCCAAGATCACTATTAAGGCTATGGATGTGGTGCTCTTTGGACCCCCAAAAGGTTAGTTGAATGTGGTGAATGATGATACAGTAGTCTAGACTATATATTTGAATGTAATTTGATATCAGAGACTAGAAGATTTGTGTTTCTATCCTAAAAAAAAATGCAGGTTATACACAGTTACTACCACTAATCTCTTGGTCACTGATTCAGCTAGAGATAGAATTGACAGAATAGTAACAGATATTCAAGGAAGATCATTTTAAGTAATTACCTAAATAATTTTGTCTGTTGCTATTAGAGTGTAAAAATGGTGTATTAATGTCCTTTGTTGTAATAACATTCAGCAAGATTATTTCATAAAGCTTATTGATGAAGGTTTATATTATTTTTCTTCTTCAAAGTTTAGAGTTATTACCAAAAGTGCCGATGATCTTCATTGAGTAGATGATCAGGTTCTGGCTTTTGGCTAAGACAAGGAGCATGTGTATCTTGTCTTGTACCCAAAATTATAGGCAGCTTCTTTATTTAGCTTGTTTATTTTTTTCATTATTTTTTTTTTTTTCTAGGTTTATATGCTTTCCTAAATTAAGTCATCAGATAACTTGCACTTCTAGGAATATTTTTTTTCATCACTAATAGATGCTTGTTTGGGTATTCTTGTGCTTGGGATTTTTCAGTGCTTGGTATACAAGGGCTAATTCCTCTGTTTGACTTGAGATATTGAACAGCTAACAAGCATTTGTCAGGCCATCAGTTGCATTTTCCAGTCTGAATAAACAGCATTTCTGATAAGGTGGATGAATTATAAACCTCAGGAATTTTCTCTCCCTCCATATGCTGATGTCGACTTGATGCCTTGGTAAGTAATATATCAAAATTTTATAATTTAATGCAACATTGAATTTTGATAAAAGTGCATGAGGCTTTCATTTGCTTTCCCCACATTCGATACAGCCCAAAATCTAAGTCACTAAATTGTGTTCAACCAGAATTTTTGATGGACTTCATTATAAGGTTATTTAGAACTTGGGCTGTGTTCCTATATTTTAGATATGTATAGCATGAGATATGATATTTGAATGTTGAAATCCCAGTCAGAGGTTAAATGGTTGGGTGCATGGGCTTGTACATTTTAAATATGGTTTAGAGGAGGAATTTCATATCTCATGACGAAATAGAAAATTATCATGTATACATTTTTTTGTAATTTTGTAAGGTGGATAGTTAGGTTTTAGTTTTAGATCATTTAATGTCAAAGAAACAGTGATATTGTAAAGATGTTTCCTTATATATTTGTAATATATTTTGTATTAAAAGCAAATTGCTTTAATATTAAAGATGGCAAAACACTGTACTTAGGAATGCTATGTTGTATTATGTTAATATATTCTTTGTATTGATAGAAAATGCAGGGTGTCACTAATGCGGGTAACACACTGAGTCATTGATTGAAAAAAAATAATTGATAGGTTGTAAGAATGTAGGGTATCACTGAAAAACAGGAACATGTGATGATGACTATGATTAATGTAGAGTAAAAGATTCGTGAAATATAAAGGGGAAATGATTCACTGAGGAAGTAGATAGATATGATGTTGATAAGTTGTCCAGTTTTTAGTATATAAGCATTGTATTATATGCTACTTTTTGGCCAGATGTTAAGTTATATATTGGGACATGTTTTACAATAATTAGGTTCAACTGTAATTTGAATTTTCTTCAAAGGAAAGGGGAATCAGTACCTTTGGAAGTAAATTAAATACAATTGTTAAAAAATAAAAAGCATTGCTACTTTGCAATAGTATACATGGAAGAAAAGTATATCACTATATGACACAATGGTACCTGGGACATTAGTGGAGTCAGTTTTGCAATTTTTGACAGTCATTAAATGATGATATGTTTGACTGTATATGCTAGTGTATTCTTTTAATTTGTATTTATAAAGGTATTCCATACTATACTTAAAACATTCTTCAGGTGGCAGTAAATTTAAAGCCATCTTTTAGCTTGTGTTCATAATGAATATCTGAGGACAGGTGACTTAACCCCTTCAATCTGGATGATGTGACCATCACATCATGAAAGAAATTGGCTTGAGGGGCAGGTGATATGAACATGGCATAATGGGAAAATTTGTGGGCTGGGTGATGTAAACTTGCTGTCATGTGCATTTTGGCTGAAGGCCGGGGGTGATGGGAAAGACTTGTCATGAGTGCACAAACCTCTTGGAGGGTGATTAGACTCATTTAGCATTTAGAAAGAGGTTTTTGCAATATTTCCATTGATAAATGAGTGTGGGATCTAATGAATATTGAATATTGAATTTTGAATATTGATCCTCTTTGTAGAGTTATGCAGAAGTAGTTATAACTTTCAGTTAACCCATTGGATCCAGCTGCTTCACTACCATCACGTTGCCCAAAATACAAGCATTAGGCTTACTTTAGTGGCCTCTCTGATGGGAGGCCAGGCACAAGAGAACACTCGCATACAGTGACAAGACCCCATGTCTCCCCATTGCAATGTTATTTTCTTGGTGGCTTTGTGCTTTGTGCATTCTTGGCGAGTCTTCCGTGTCATACCAGCCTTAGCCCAAAATGCTTGTAATGACAAGTTCACATCATCCTGGCCCACAGCTAAATTTTCCCATGACAGAATGTTCATGTAAACCATCCCTCAAGCCAAATTTTTTCATAATGTGATGGTCTTGTCATCTGGATCATGGAGGTTTAACCCCATACCGATGGGTCACATCTTTTGGTGTCATAACAAACAGCTTGATTTGTGGAGTGCATCTGTACGAGCGGGGTGTTCGGCTTGATGTAGCCAACTCCCACGCTCAGAGTTGGCTTGTTGCCATTATTCTCCAGAGCATAGAGTTTTTAAACATTTTCTTCAAAGAAACTTTCCAAGCAGTTGTGAAATATGTGAACATTTTGGACAAGAATCAGTGCTGGCTGGCTTGTCACAGGAAGCTCCAATGCACCAGTACAAGAACAAGTCATGATGGCCAGAGCTGTACCTGGCATGTAGCAGAAATATTTCATGACAGTTATAGCTATTCCTGTCTGCATGGGGTTAAAGATCAAAATGCTTTTGAACAATTTCAGTTAGGTGTTCTAGTGGTGGCTTTAGATATGTTAAAATTACATGTAAAAAGTAAGGAAGGAAAACATTTTCAAAGCTAGACACTATGCTTATCATATATGCATGTCATGAAGAATGGTTTGCATGAAACAAATATTAAATAAAAATATATATATATTTCTGAATATTTTTGCATGTGATTTATATAACAAGTGTATATATGAAATTACAGTTGCTCTTTTCTATCCCCCAGACAAATAGATTTTGTTAGAGTTGACAGATGTGGGCAGTTGTATGGTTGTGTGTATCTAATGTATGATCATGTTTTGAAATCTCTGTGTATGGACATGATCGAGTCTACTTATAGTGTACATACTCAGACTTAATTGTTAGCGTCTGATGAGATAGAATAAAGAGAACTGGAAGAGGATGAATAGTAAAGTGAAAAATAAACTTGAATGTATATTTATCATATCCATACAAGAAAATGAAGATGCAAGAGAAGTTGATATGATAAGGAGTGACCCATTATGTAAAGTGCTTTAAACCTTTTTAAAATTTAATGACAGTGCAATCAAGTATTAACTGCACGTAACCTTTTACAGATTGGTTATTATACCTTT